AACTCTTCATTCTAACCTTCCAATACTTTATGCGACGCATTCAATGAACAGAATCGTCAAGATATTCATATTATTTACGCAGTTATTATGTGATCAGTGTGATTGTGTTGAGGTTTGGTCGTCCCACTCGAAATCTGCTTCATCGTCAACCAATTTGCAACATCGCTGGAATAAAGCTGGTATTTTTAATGGGCCTCTTAGTTAAGCACTACCTTTAGAGACGTCGTTAGCCTGGCATAGTCTGGAATTGAAGTATAACTGAGATCGCGAAGCAGTATCGGGAACATCTCGAAATGGCGTGGAAGGAACCTAAGCCCACACATAGACACCTAACTGTAGGCAGTTATCGCTGCAGAACCCACCTGCAGAGATCAAAGTAAGTCAGACGTCGTTTAAGCTGAAAGATCTCGTCATGTTCGGTGATAGTTCGCCATGGCAATCCACCTTCAGCTAATTCGATTAAGGTGTAATAGACGCTCCACAGATCATCTACGGGACCCTAAAAAGTGAGTGTAACTGAACCTAGCTAAAGGCTGGCTGCTTCCTAAAAACCAACCTGCTCTTTTCTTTCATGCACAGCTAGTGATACGTACCGCATTGTACCTCTGAACGCCGCATACACTCGCTCCTTACGGAATTCACCATTCGGTAGGCGAAACTGACGGGTCATGCCTAAAAATTTTCTATTTTTCGAGCTCTAGATCTAGAAAAGATTTCCATCTAATCACGTACCAAAGTCAACGAGATAAATTATTCTACGGTGCTCTCCGATACCAACACACATGTTTGAAGGTTTTACATCCCTGTAAGCACAAATCTCTCTTATCTCTCGAAGGTGCCAAGAACTCACCTATGAAGAAATCCTAGATCATGAACTGCTTTTAATGCTTCCACCATTTGTACTCCTATTCGAACTGTCTAAAAAGCAATTTGAGCTTTCTTAGAGCGAATAAAAACAGTTTTCAAACCGTGTGAACGGTAAAACGCCTTTCTGGCTGTGCCTTTCTCAATTCAGTCAGGTTTCTTCCCAACATTTGCATCACTATGAAATTGTAGTTGTTCAGCGATCCAGACGCGTACTGTAACAGAAAGGTTTTTTGATGAAAAGCCAGTGACTGAAGAATACCAATCGCGGTGAATGTCTAGTTCCAACAAGCTTTGTGAGCACCATCTGCTCCAAAACCATTCGACCAGCATCTTCAGTTTGCGGTTCCACTTTAGCTGCCACTACCGTACTCATGTCCTTGAAAACACTAACTGCATTTGTCTGAATGAATCACATGAGGCTCACCACATCGGTAGCGCGATAAATCTGGCCAAATCCGCCACCGCCTATCATCTTTTCCAAGCGATACTTCTTCGAGAGTATTGTTCCCTTTTCAAGATACTGAGGAGCGTTTTTGCCGCGAACCTAAAAATTTAGATGACTATTTTGCCAGCTTCTGATCTCGTACCATAGGATATACCTTCAAAGATTGTGGCTGATTTAATGGTTCAGGTTTCGGAACAAGCAAAGGCTCAGGGTCTAAGGCACGACGTTCCAACTGGTTGGTGATGATCATTCCCGCGCAATGAGTTCTGACCAGCCGTTGAACTTCCTTTCTATGAAATGAATCTTACCATCGCTAGTTATGGGTTTGTTGACAACAGCTTTGTTAAGCTCTCAACAACTGGTATCAGTCCTTTTTGTAAGCTTATATTTATGCGGTCAAATTAACACTAACGTAATGAGATGCAGAAGATTCGAAAAAAGGACCTTAAATGATAATACATTGGTTAACGGATTTTGACAGTGCATTCTTCCATCTTTCTTATCTATTTTTGTTTCCTTTCTTTGAGCTGCCACCCTCTTTCGGTTTCCACCAGTTCAAGAATTCATAAAGCACCTAGACAAAGCCTCTTTTTCTACATTTGCTGTTTTCCTTGCTTATAGCAGTTGAACAATTGATTGCCATACCAGTATAATCATAACCTCAGCCTGTAGCTAAAAACGCTTCAAGGAAAGTGAAAGTCCACCGTTTCACAACCTCTTGCGTAAGATGTTGTGCTTGAGCCAAGCAAAAGCCGTGCTTTTTTTCGCATTTATTTCTTAAGTTTTTTCCTTTTTAAGTTTTTTATTTCAGATGAAATGAGCAGAGGAGCGGAGTAATTCATGAGTATACTTCTCATTTGTTTACTTGAAGCATTTTCTTCTAAGATTACATTCATTTCGAATTGTTGAGATTACTATGTCAAATACAGTTCCATGTGCAGAAATACAGTACAAGTGCATACATTGTAAATTAAGAGAACTGAAGGAAGCGGAGTGGCATAAATTAAATCCAATATGGAGACGCAGCATGGTGATCTCAATCCTTCCAAAGGATGGTCCTTGATGATCCCTGCATCAGAGAAAACCTGAGCTTGAAGAAATCGTCGAAGGGCGGGCACCGGCAACGCAGCGTTGACAGTTGGCCCGGCGAGATCATTACATAGGAAGAACAACCCAAAACAAAACGGCTAGTCGGGATCGTTTTCGTTTTGATTCCATTGGGTCCAAGCTCTTTCGAACGAATATTGGCTGCGACACCACCCTTCCACCTATATGCATAAAAAGCATGGCATCGGCTGTGCGCGAACTGACTAGCAGCTTGTAAATCAGGCCGAAGAAGGAATAAGGGGCAAGTTTTTTAGGGGATATTATTGAGATGAGCTTGAGCATCTCTCAGAGCTCTCTATGCGTGAAGTCTAGAGGAACGTGTCGTGCCGTGGCTAAAGGAGTCGCTGGTCACTTTGCTCAGACGCATTTGAATTTTCGCAGCCTTAAAAACAAAGAAACAAAGTGAATTTGCTTACCTTTATAAACTACCTCCCCTCACCTACATTACATACATACATTCTAATTCTCCATGCCGAGATATGGCTAAGCCACATCTCGGCAGGGAGATAATTTCTAGACATCCTAATCAAAATACCGCTGTAACCAACTTGTACGCAAAGGAGGTAAAATTCTGTATAAAATAGATGTTTTTCCTACCTTATCTATCCTTAATTACTTATTCCCTGGCAGCTTAGACTCAAAACATTCAAAAAGCTCTCAAATATAGACATTTGGCAAATAATTTGTCTTCTTAAAATTTTTCTTTGCAATTAGAGACATCTTTTACACCTAACAGGTACTGGGTATTTGGATTGTTAGCCAACGCATAAAGGGTATAGCCTACAGTTCAGGAGACTTGACTACACAGGCTAAGTTCTCAAGGGATATCTATTGTAATAAAAACCAAAATTTTCCGCAAAAGTTCAGCCATCATAGTTCACTTGAGATAGGACGACAGATGGCTAGAGAATTGCCATTTTGTTTCATGTTTTTATTTCTCTGCCACCATTCTCTTGGCCATTCGTTTTCTCTTATTTCCATTACTTGAAGTACACTTTGCACCTTTCCCCCCTCTTTTTTTGCGGTTTGTTGTAATTTAGATGCCCATCTCATCAGAGCAACGAACAGAGCTAGTGCTCTTAAAGTTCCATTTCCATTGTTTAACTTGTTTAAGATTTTCTTTATTTTTCATGGTTGTCACCAATTTTCTCGCTTGTTCCAATATCGATCCTAACTTATAGGGCTATTACGTATTCCAACATCCTCTCTTCGGCGTTCTATGGGAGTTGTTTAACCGCACATTGCGCCTGCTTATATTTTCAGCTGTTCTGAAGTGAGACTTTTTCAGAATTGCTATTGCGGTTTATTAACATTGCACTATCTCCAGCCTGCACGAGACTTCATTTAGCATGA